TTTTTCGCCCGACGTACTAGATCCATTCGATTAGGGGTTGAGTGGGAATATAGTCATCCTGGATTGTTAAATATAAATATCCCTATATGCTTATCAAGAGTAAATATTCTGAGATGTTTATACTTGCGGGTTAAATTAGACTCTCTACGTGCTTTTCTAGTATTATTATTTGCTTAAGTATGATTTCTGAATTTCAAGGACGAAATTATGTAAAACCCCAAAATTTTGAATATTTTATGATAAATAATAATAAATTTGTTATATATTTATAAATAACATATTATGATATTTAAGTATACTAGGAATTATTTTGAGATCAATTCAATGTATATATGTATATATATAAGAGCAAATGCACAATTCATGCTCGATGTATAAATCTAAAAATTTATGACTAATAAAGAGATTTTTATATTTTTCTCACAGATGTAGTTGGAATTTGGAAACACTTAAAAGACAAAAATTGTAGGTATCTTCAAGATCTTTCCAACAAGTATTAGATCACCTCATTCTGAGGTCATACATGAAAGTTATGACTAAAATACTAAAGGTCATTTTCCTAATCAGATTAGGATTCCTGGTTCGGGTCAAACGGGTTTATTTCGGGTTTGCATATATATAAACATGTGTTTTCATATAAATTAACATCCTTACATCAGAGTTTCAAACCTTAGCAGCCCCTCTTCCTCTCTCTGAATCCCTAGCCCTAAAGTTGAGAATTTTGAGAGCTTTGTGAAGCAAATATTGACACGAGGGCAAGATCATCAACGTGTAGCAAGGGGAAAACGGCTTGGTTGTACTTCTTTTTGATTATGGATTATTTCAAAGACTTAGAACGATATCTAAGGCAAGATTATCTTCATTCAAACCCTTCCCCATAGTTAAATAACTAGTTAGATATTTAATATGATGTTGAATATGTGTTTTCATGCTTGAATCTTAACATTATGTGATAAAAGTTAAATTTTTGATATTAAAACATAAACCAATGCGAGAATAGTGATTTTTTTCTTGCTGTCTATGATAGTATCATGATCATGATCATTAGGATTTTTCATAATTTTATTTATATATGAGAAATTTAAAAGATGTACTAAATAAATATTTTCTGCAAAAAACTATAGCAATTGTATCATGTTTAACTGAGATTTAGAAATAGAAAATAAACTCCAAATTTAACCAAACTAGTGTCAAATGAAAGATATATATATCTAGTTTCTAAAATAGAAGATTAATCTTAAAAATAATTTGTATAGAGAAAGATATGATCTTTTTACTAACAACATATCCTGCAGAAAAATGGATGCACATATATAATATTTAACTGGAGATTTGGGATAACAAATGCACTCCAAATTGAACCAAACTTATGTCATTTAAAATATGTTTGAATCTAGTTTTCAAAACAGAAAACCATTTGTAAAAATAGTTTTCCTAGAGAAAGATATACTGATTTTACTAACAGATGTCACATCTATTTTTCCTGCTCGTTTTGTGGAGCTGTGTTGCGTCGTTTTGACGTGCGTTCGCGGAGTTTTTAGCCGCTTGATGTTATACGTATAGTCATGAATATGTTATATTATATATTTAACAATCCCAAGGGGATTATGATGAATTTTGATTTGATCATATTTGAATTAAATATAGTTCATATACATTTGGATGTCGTTGATGAGCACAGCTCAGTATTATATGGAATAGTGCGTCGACATACCAAATATACATGGTTTATACATGAGCTGAATGTTGTTGATGAGCATATCTTAGTACTATATGGGATAGTACATCGACATGCCAGAGGTACAAAGATTTATATCAGGTGGATATCGTTGATGAGCTCAGTTCAGTACTACATGAGGTAGTGCGTCGATATTCCACATGTACAGGCCATTGAGTCGGATTTTAGAAGGCTTGATCTAGCCGTTCGTCCCGCACTAGGGTGCGATGAGGCTCGTGAGACGTATTTCTAGGATGCCTATTTGATAGTCCGTCCCGCACTCATATTATGCACTAAGATCGCGATGAGACTAATGAGCCGTGTACACAGTTCAGGATACCTACAGGGTAGTCCGTTGCACTGAGACAATTACTTGATAGCCTAAGTATGACAGATGACGATTTTGAATACGACCTATCATTGAACTATACGACTGAGATATGTTACTTTTGAAAGTATACAAAATTATGTATTGGTATTTTATTCTATCTCTCTAGTGATTGTGGAAGATATTATAAATACGATGTGTTGATAACTTGTTTCTTTTACTGTCTTTTTACTTCTTAGTTGGGATCAATGATTAGAGATTCACAACTTTAGACTTATGGTATATATATGAGAGTTTCTTTGTTTGGATTATTTTGCTCGACATACCAGTCTCGTGTTATGAATTTCTAATTATTGGTTTCATTAGATTGTCTTTTCTTAGTTTGGTATTAATGTTTAGATATCTACAATTTAAGACTTATGGTATATACATGAGGGTTTCCTTGTTTGGATTATTTCGCTCGACGTACTACGTCTCGTGTTGTAGGTTTCTAAATGTTAATCTCACTTAGATACGGGAAAAATGAATCTAGGTAGACTATGCTTACTAGATAGAGCCTCCACTCCATCTAGCAGCCCTTCCCCTGGGGCGGATGGAGGTAATCTTGCTGTAACGCTCTGACGTTCTTGTTGTTGTTTCTTTTTCTTTTAAAAATACCCTTTCAGGTAGCTCGGAGTTCCGGAGAGCCGTAGGATGACGGAGTTCTTGCATAGTCGCTGTCCCGAGAGATTTATTAGAGGCTCCACTATAGTTTTAAATTTTATTCAGACTTAGAGTTTATTTCCATTTTGTAAAGGCAATGAGCCTTAGTTCAACTTTCTGTTTTGATTCATGTTGAGACATCGTATGTTATTGCAGACTCCAAATGTATTTTAGTTTATTTTCAGTTGAGACATGACCTTTATTTATGAGATATCATCTTGTTTATCATGTTTATTATTGTCGTTCTACTTCTTTGCCTGTTTTGTACCTACTCTTTTATTTGACCCCACTAGAGGATATTACTGTGATTGGTGAAACTTATTGTTGCACAGTGTGGATGCATGGCGGGTTTGATATCTCTGGGTTCATCTTGGACTGCAGCCATGAGTGAAAACATGGGCGTCACAGAACATAGTGCTATTAATAAACTATGTGATTATTTATACAATTACATATTAGAGGAGGAAATTTAATAAAAATGCGTTTATCAAATTACATTTTAGCATTTATATATACAATATGTTGAATAATGTTAAATTATAATTTAACAATATGTTTTAGAAAGTTAACGCCAACTCCAGTTCTAATAACTAGGGGAAAACATTTTTAATAAAAGAAATATATCACAAAAAAAAGGAATGTAATCTTATTTTATATATAAATAGATATATACTAACTATCTTGTTCTCATTATGTATATAGTAAGTTTAACAAATTTAAAGCATAATTCAAACACTCATGGCTATAATAGAAGTTGTTTAGCATGATAAAATCATAGGAAAAAGAATTATTGTTAACTTCCTTAAATATTCATAGTTTAGATTTTATTTTATTACTTTGGTAAATTATACATTTTGAAAAAAATTCCTACAGCAACGCGCAGGTACAACACCAGTAATTACTCTTATCATCTTCCTATTGTAAAAGTGAAACAACCCCATAATAAAACAGAAGGAAGTGCATGTGATTAGTATTATGTGACATGCGCGCTAAAGCTTTACAAATTACCCAAAAAAAAGAAGGAAATTATTTTTTGAGACCGATTGTATCCATGTTCAAAATGTTGTTTTAGACCAAGTGCAACAGGAGGGGAAAATGGTGGTTTTTCCATACAGCAGCTAGGGAAATAGGAAGGGAAATTTCAAAAGCTTTCCAAGGGGTGAAATATTTCCCTTCCGTGAAATTGCATGAAATACACTTTATGTGGGGCCTGCCTCCTATATAAGAAAAAGAAAAAAAAATTAATGAAGAGTGGTCCAATGGGAGAGGAGCACGCAGCCCCATCAGCCCCCACCAACCCCACGATTTTTGACCAGCCATGCACATGGAAACGTGCCCTCTCCCCATTGGACCAACTCTTTTTTGTTTTCACCTAATCTTTAAATTGTAGATTTGGAGCATAAATAATTCGAATTAAATTTTTTTATACCATTATTTCTAATTTTTCAAGGTCTATAAATAGAGCCTAAATTTGTGTCATTTGGACACCAAATTTTTTTTAAGATTTTACACCCTATATTTCTTCCTTTTTGCATTTCTCTCTACTTTTTTCTTCCATTGTCAAGCCTTTTTTGCAACCTTCATGGATCCTTCACAAAATTACAATTTGCCCCCAGGTTACAATTTTCCTAATCCTCAAAATCCTAATATGCAACGCCTAGAAAATACTCAGAATACGGGGATGCCGGCAAATTTTCAGATGCCGTATATGATGCCTCCAAATATGGGCATGCAATACCCGTATAATAATCCTTATATGCCATATGGGTATCAACAATATCCTGGAAGCAGCTATGCTCCCTCCAATATTAAAAATTAAATTAGTAATATATTTAAATATTAAATATTATTTATTGAATATTAAATTATTAATAAAATTATAATTATAAATATATTAGTTATAATAGTAAAAATAATATATGAAATAAGAAATATGAGTGAATAAATATGGTGGGGTATATGTTGATATGATGTGGTTATGGTGGGTCCCAAATAAAGTGAAAAAGTTTTTGAAAAACTAGCTGCTGCAGAGTTGGAAATGAGTGTTATTGAATTATGTGGTGGGAGAATAAAGTGATGTGGCAGGAGAGAAGGGGTGAAAATTTACCTACCTGAGATGGTCTTAAGTAAAAATCCATATTATTAAATAATAATAATAAAACCTCTCTTTACTAGATTATTACTTAATCCTCTAGTCTGTTTTTTTCAAAAAAAAAAAAACTCCTCTAGTCTGACATTTCGACCGTAATTTATCCCTATAAAATTCTTCCAAAATTTTTATTAATCCCAAAAAAATTAGAAGACCAATCAATTTCATGGCCGTTTCCTTGCTACCAAGTACAAGCAAACCCTAGAATATCCTCGCACCTTAGTAGGAATAAAATCTAGGGATTGTTATTTTTTTTCCCTTAAAAAACCGCCATTATCAGCATCTTTCACCTGATCGTGAGAATCCAAGTAAGTGCTGTTCTCGCTGTTTAATTAAACAAAACTAGGGCGATCTCCGCAGTCCTTGATTCTTTTGTTTTGAGTGATTTTAAGTGGACAACAGTGCTCGAGAAAGCTGACTCATTCGATAATTTGGGATGCTCAATAATCAATTGCTGTTTGTGTTGCCACAAAAAAGAGAAGGGGAAAAAAATCTATGTTGTTGTTTAAATTTTCTACGCACCGCGAATATTAAAGAATTGGGGTGCGAAAATTATTATTGTGCTAATAAATTGCATTTTTCTATATAAAGCTCTAATTTTGAGTTGCATTGTACGTCACATTTATGTACTTCTATTGACGGGGAGGACTAGTTCAAAAATTCCATTTAAATTATACTACATAAGCAAATTTTATTTGTTTTTAATCAAGTAGCTTGATTGTCTGAGAGTTTCATGATATTTCTTGTAATCATAGGCAATCTAATTACATTGACCTACCTATTCCCCATAAGAACTAGCATTGGATATTGTCCAATAGTTGCTAATTTGTTAATTTCTTTGGAAGACATGAAACAAAAACGAATTTTGGGTATATTCTCATGATCTCTTTTCATGTGTAATTTTTCTTTATCATATGTCCACTGACCGGCTTGCATAAGCCAATTGGGTATTTTTAGATATAATCCACTCTGGTTTTTCCTTTTGATTGTTATATACTTCTCTTCATCCATCACTATACTGTGACAAAAAAAATGAGAAAGAAAAACTTGATAATGTCTTAAGGGTTCCAGGAATCTACCATAGTATCATTTAAGGGGCCATCAATTATAATACTTTTGTTCCTCCAATCAGGCTCAAAAACTGTTACATTGCATGAAAGGGACCTGTATGGATTTTATACTTCTTTTCAGTTGTTTAAAGTGCATGTCATGTTCCTGAAGTTGGCTGCAGAATCAAAGGCTTCCAACGTTTTTGTTTATTAGAACTGATAAAGCTCATTTGTTAATGTAGTAGAAGGACATTACATTGACGGACGGATACATCGAGACCCCGTTTCTAGTATTTGGAATAAAGGAAAGAATATATCGTGCTCCCATCTGGGTCTGCTTCGTTACTTCATAAGCCCTTTGTCTTACCTGATGGAATCCTCTCTTCTTAAATTCCAGAAGGAAATCTTCGTGATGGATAGTGGGAAGAAGGATATCACAATTCAAGGCCCACTTGTGTGCCGCCACTTGGCATCAAATTCTATTCCGGAGGACTTGAATTGGTAAAGAATCAGTATTGAGTTTCTTTCAGTTGTTTTCAGTTGTTAGGTTGTTAACTGAAACAGTTGGTCTGCTTTTAAGTAACGTGGCTGTTATTTGTGAGTTGTGATGGCTCTGGATCAAAAACTTAGTTTTAATGGTTAATTAAGTTTTTTTAATCTTTAAAGCATGCATCATCGATGATGTGAACCTGAGGTAATCTTCTCGTATTTGAGTATTTGATTAGTGTGTTTAGCTAATTGTAAGCAGTATCTGCCTTGTGTTTAGCTAATTGTAAGAATGTTTAGTTAGTAGCAAAATATCTGCATTTTTAGTTATATTCAATGACTACATTTGCCGTAAGACATTGGAAATGCATTTTTTCCAAGTTAAAAGTTTGTGTTAGTTCTTGGATGGTTGCAGTATGCTTTCTGAACGACCTTTTCAAGGTAAGTTTTTGCTGATGCAGTGGATATGCTGTTGGGTGACATGCTTTTCTTTTTGTGGATCTTAAATTTGGCAAGTTAGGAATATTTGTAATCTGGTTTTCTGATTTGTTTCTTTACCATTTTAAAGTACATTTACAGACTACCTTTCTTCAATATGACTATAGTTTTTTTCCCTGATCTTGTTCGTAATTGTTTTACAGTTTTTTAGTCTAGCTGTCTAATTGGTTTCTACATTTGCTAATTGGAGTAAGGGTCTAGGATGCCATAAATACTTTTCTTCGCAATGAAATATTTTGTTTATAATGACTAATTGATGAAGCATTTTTCATGATTGATCACTTCTGGGTTGAGCTGAACATATGACTAATGCCTGAAACACATTTTTCAACTTGAAAGCTCAATATATAAATCCCATTTTGCTTGTATGTCAATGCCAAATCTTTTAGTTTTTCATTGGAGGAAAGTTGAGAGTACAGGCACCTGCTTCACTAAGGAGGCGATAAACTAATGTTCTAATTTTTGGAGTTGCTAGTCGATGCATTTGTTCAGATCTATGGATCACAGTAGTTTCTGCTGTATTTTTCTCTTACCTTCAGGACGATGTTGTCTGCATTTCTTCCAATATGAAATTTGCTAACTTTGCTGTTTGGCTTGCGGATGTCTGGAACCGTTTATTCAGACTTCTTGGCCCTGAAACTTTCAATTTAGCTCGATTATCTTATTTATTCGTTCATTTGCGCATATATATATGTGCTTGCTGTGACCAGCTCTTGGATCTATTTTTCATGAACTTCGCTTTTGTCTTGAACCTTATGGATTTTAAGCTGCACAGTTGACTGATATGTTTAAGGTTTTGGATTACAGGGAGCTGAACTGGAGCCTCACATTTGGAATAATCAGATCCTGGCCTAATCTTGACCTGAGGTAATCTGAGGTTGATGTTCCTGCATTCAAATGCGTCATCATAGAATGAGCAATTGTTAGCCTTGCTCTATACGGGTCCAGATTATTGGTTTAATTTCAATTTTCTTTCTCTTTGAGTGATGGAGGGTCTCTTGGAGACTAATGGTATAGCTCGTATTTCCTCACTTATTAGAATTTTTAGAATCAGAAGAAAGTGATCTTCTAGCCTTATATTTGGATTATATTACTCTACCTGGTTCTTTATATACTTTATATCTTAGTGGGAACTCTAGAAATTCATTGTTTTTTATTTAAATTGGAAACAGTAATGTTCTGTATCGATACAAAACAATAATGTAAGATAACATCAATAACAAGGCATCGCTAGTTTGAGGTCAGTAGATTGAATAAACTGTAGGACACATTTATTGGAAGAGACATTCTATTCTCCTTATTAGTGTTGATTTGATACGTTAACAGGTTTTGCTTCCAAAGGGCTCAACTGTGGCCAAATGGATTCAAGAAAATCCATAGATGATCAGTTCTCCAAGTTGCATCCATGTCTGCCTGTGAGAACAAGAATTGGCATAATCGGTGCTGGACCAAGTGGTTTAGCTGCTGCTTACGCTCTTGCTAAGCTTGGCTATAGTAATGTATGTGTTCTTGAGAAACATCATACAGTTGCAGGAATGTGCGAGTCAGTTGATATTGGAGGTAAGGTCATCTGTACCTGTATAAATCTGTTTTCATTGGGCATTCGATCTCAAGGTTTGATGAGATGATTAAGGTCTTCCTCTCAACAATGCAGGAAGGGTTTATGATTTGGGCGGTCAAGTAATTGCCGCAAACAGTGCTCCCACTATAACTCACTTAGCAAATGAAATTGGGGCAGAATTCGAAGAGATGGATGCACACAAGCTAGCTCTTATTGATAGATGCACTGGGAATTATAAAGACTTACAAGTAGCTGATGATTATGTTTCTCTCATTTCCCTCACCTTAAAACTACAGGTTAGTGACTAATAATGGCCTTGGCATCAGGACTTCATACAAGGCAAATTATGCTCTACATTAAGAATTTCTTTGATTTTATACTTCAATGGTTTAGCACATTATCTGCTTGTACTTATGATAATATATGATATTTAAGAATTCTGCTCTAAATAGAAAACTCTTCCTGGATTATTGCAAAGAGCTTTTTGGTCTGTTACCTACATAGAAGACCATCTTATTACATTATAGATTCACCGAAAAGAATGAAGAGAGTTGAAAGAAAACCGCTTCGAATGCAGGAGAATAAAAGGCCAAAGTTGGTTCTGGCTGTAAGGGGCAGATTATCTTTGAAGTTTTAAAGGAAAAAAAATATGTGTGCATTTAATATTGTGTATTTATATGTATATATTGCTCATCATTGAAAACCTAAAACACTGTGATTTTTTGTACATCAAGATCTGGGTTTATGCTTTTTAGTTTCATCATCACTTAAACAATTCCTCCATTACTTCTAGGATGAAGCAAATAAATCTGGTAAAATCGGAATTCATGCACTCAGTAATGCTGCTTCAGATCCAACTCTTGATTTTGTCAAGCTCCACGGTTTGAAATCTGTGCCAAAATCAGTGGCATACGGATACACAGCCTCTGGTTATGGATTTGTTCAAGACATGCCATATGCATATATCCATGAGTTTACACGCACTTCGATGGCTGGAAAAATTCGCCGCCTGAGAGGAGGTTACACAAGCATGTGGCAAAAGCTTAGCCTTTCTCTACCTTTTGAAGTCCTCTGTAGCACAGAAGTGCTGAAAATCAGCCGTATAGCTGATTGTGTACATGTAATGGTTAGGGATGCTGATGGTGAAGAGAAACTGATGGAATTTGACAAAATCATTCTCTCTGGTTCTCTTGCTTTCAGAAATAGACGGGTTTACAGGTCATCTTCGACTTTAGAAGGTGAGTTGTACGTTTATTTTAAGTGTGCATCTCCATATAAGATTAGGCTTATTTTTATCTTCTACTTCAGCTTATGATTAAGCTTACTTTGATTCTCAGTTTTGGAAAATGAGGTGGTAGAATTTAATGGACTTGAAAGGGGGTTATTTGGCGAGGTTCAAACCATAGATTACTATACCACTGTTCTGAAGGTTAAGGGATTTGAGCATTTGCCTATGGGGTTTTATTACTTTGAGGAATTCATGGAGGATCCTACAACTATAGGAAACCCAGTGGCAATGCAGAGGTTTTATGCTGATACTGGTGTTTTCTTGTTCTGGTCTTATGGTGACTCTGTAAAAATTCGGGGACCAATGGTAACCAAGCTTGTGATTGATGCTGTGGAGTCCATGGGAGGAGTAGTTGAGGAAGTAGTTTTACAGCGAAGGTTTAAATACTTCCCGCATGTTAATGCTGAAAGTATGTTTTACTCGAAGCATCTATTTTTTTCTATAACTGTTTCCTTTATTCGTTAAGCTGATTACACAGAGTTTCACATTTTCAGATATGAAAAACGGTTTTTATGAAAAGTTGGAATCTGAACTCCAAGGTTTTCAGAATACTTATTATGTAGGAGGTCTTTTAGCCTTTGAGTTGACAGAAAGAAATTCTTCTTACTCCATTGCTATGATCTGCAAACATTTTGCAAATGATAATGCTGTGCCAAAGTTCCCATATGTCAAGGTAATTCTAATACCTTTTTATTTAGTATAATGTATAATGCAGCACTGCTAGCAAGTGGGCAATATGTTCGGTTAGATTATGATTTTTAAACAGACTTCTAACTGAAATTTGTGGGTTTATTCAAAACCTGAATACTAGCTAGTGCAATATTGTTGCTTGTTTGATACCTACAAGCAGCAAATAGTGGAGGCAGAACTTTAGCCAACACTTGGTTGTTAAATTTGACTGTTTTTACTGAAAGTATATTATACAGTTGGGAGATGGATAGACATTTTCTTGGCTGTACAGGTTATGCTTGTGCAACCAAGGATTAACTCAAAAGATTGCTAGGCGTGCACTTTATGTGACTTCTACGTACACAATGTTTATTATTTATCCAGATTTATAACATATTCTCTAGTAGAATTTAGAATTTGTATCTCCAGTTTTGTAAACGTTGATATTATAATGCTATATTGTGTCATTTAACAGTTATGATGTTGCCTGTTCCCTTGCAGAGATTGTTTCCTCTGGTCTCCAATAACAAGCCTCGTTACCCCAGAGATCTAGGTGAACTCCCAGGAATAAAGTTTCCAAACCTGCCTTCTTTAGACAGTTACCTAAAGTTTTGGGGAACTAATGAAATCACTAAGAATGCCACTCTCTACACTTGGATCAACGAGGAAGGGAAGGTTGTAAACAAGAGGTCTTATGGAGAGGTTCACTCCAATGCATCCCTTGTTGCCTATAAACTCTTAACAAGCAGCAAGCCTGTTCTTAAACCTGGTGATAGAGTTCTTCTGGTTTATCTCCCTGGTTTGGAGTTTGTTGATGCCTTCTTTGGGTGCCTGAGGGCTAGAATTATTCCAGTCCCTGTGTTACCCCCTGATCCACTGCAAAGAGGTGGCCAAGCACTACTGAAGATCGAAAACATTTCAAGAAGTTGCAATGCTGTGGCAATTCTATCGACATCTTCTTACCATGCAGCCGTTCGTGCTGGCTTTGTGAAGAGCATGATAATGCTTTCAAAGAGCAACCAGAAGTCTTCTGCTCAGTGGCCTGATCTTCCCTGGATCCATTCTGATTCATGGGTCAAGAATTTTAAAGACCTTGCAGTTGACTCCAAAGAAAACCTCTCAGATCTGCAGGCAAATGATTTGAGTTTCCTTCAGTTTACATCTGGCTCGACTGGCGAAGCGAAGGGGGTGATGATCACCCATGGTGGGCTTATCCATAATGTTAAGATGATGCGGAGGATATATAGGAGCACTTCCAGAACTGTATTAGTCAGCTGGCTTCCTCAATATCATGACATGGGATTGATAGGAGGCCTTTTCACAGCTTTAGTGAGTGGAGGGACTGCAGTTCTCTTCTCCCCGATGACATTTATCAGGAATCCTCTCATCTGGCTTAAGACTATGAGTGATTATCAAGCAACCCACAGTGCCGGTCCAAACTTCGCTTTCGAGCTAGTGCTTAGAAGATTGGAGGCAGACAACGGGAAGGATAAACCCCGAACCTATGATCTTTCTTCAATAATTTTTCTTATGGTTGCAGCGGAACCAGTTAGACAGAAAACCCTGAAAAGGTTAATTGAGATTACCCGTCCTTTTGGTCTATCTCAGGAGGTGCTAGCTCCTGGTTATGGTCTCGCAGAAAACTGCGTGTTTGTAAGCTGTGCTTTTGGTGAAGGGAGGCCAATCTTCATAGATTGGCAAGGTCGTGTTTGCTGTGGATATGTGAATCCAGGTGACCCTGATGTTGAAATAAGAATTGTCGAGGCAGAAACCGATAGAGAGCTCGAGGATCACGGAAAAGAGGGAGAGATTTGGGTAAGTAGCCCCAGTGCTGGAATTGGGTATTGGGGCAATGAAGTACAGAGCCAAAAGACGTTCTACAACAAGCTTCAGAACTGCGCTGACAAAAAGTTCACAAGAACAGGAGACCTAGGGAGGATTATTGATGGAAAGCTGTTCATTACTGGAAGAATAAAGGATCTCATTATTGTTGGAGGACGAAATATATACTCTGCTGATGTAGAAAAAACTGTTGAAAATTCTTCGGAATTGCTTCGTCCAGGTTGTTGTGCTGTGATTGGTGTCCCAGAGGAAGTTCTGTCTTCAAAGGGAATAACTTTTCCAGACGCTTCAGATGAAGTTGGTCTAGTTGTGATTGCTGAGGTTAGGGAGGGGAAGCCAGTAAACAAGGACGTTGTCGAGCAAATCAAGACAAAGGTAGCTGAAGAGCATGGTATTTCTGTAGCTTCTGTGAAGCTGATCAAGCCCAAAACTATCTGCAAGACAACTTCAGGGAAGATCAGGAGGTTTGAATGCTTAAAACAGTTTGTTGACGGGACACTGGCCATGGCAGCTGATCCAGCTTCAGCTAAAAAGTCTCTTTTTCGATCTTTCACTACAGGTAGCCACAGAGATAGAAGGGAATTACGGCTGATACACAACAGAACTCCTTCCCATTCTATTGAACCGGTTAATTCTGAAAAGGATATGAAGGAGATCACTGATTTCTTGAGAGATTTAGTGTCAGCGCAAACAGGCATTTCCATTGAGAAGATATCAGCAACAGAAAGCCTTGTCTCCTACGGAATTGATTCGATTGGAGTTGTTAGAGCAGCTCAGAAGCTGTCAGATTATCTTGGTGTTCCAGTTGGTGCAGTCGATATCTTTACAGCAACTTGCATTTCAGATTTAGCTAGCTTTTCTCAGAATCTGCTGAAAAAGTCTAAGCCTCAGTATGCTACTTTGCTAGAAGTTAATAAAGATTTGGATTTTGTCCTACCAAATATTGAGAAGACTGGATTACAGAAATTGGGTATGGGAGCTCTCCAACTTCTTGCACTTATTTATGCTTCTTCCCTCTTAATTGTTCCTGCATATCTTTCGAGTAATATGCAATTGAACTTGGTCTCTGTAACGTCTACAGAAACTAATCTACTACCGATGTACATATTTTCTTTTTTCCTTGCTCCTTTTGCTTGGATTTTCTATGTCATCCTCACTTGCATTTCTCTATCCCTATTTGGAAAACCTTTCTTGCAACCAAATTATATTTTAACCCCAGAGGTCTCTATATGGTCTGTTGATTTCGTGAAGTGGTGGGCACTCAACAAAGCTCAAGAAGCTGCAGGGAAAATGTTGGCTGTCCATCTACGTGGAACAGTATTTTTGAAGCACTGGTTTGAGATGCAGGGAGCTCAGATAGGCCGATCAGTCTTAATCGACACCATTGATATCATGGATCCCTCACTAGTTTCAATTGGAGAAGGGGCTGTAATTGCAGAAGGGGTGTTGATTCAGAGCCATGAAGTGAGAAATGGGGTCTTAAGCTTCCTCCCGGTTAAGATTGGTCGTAATGCATCAGTTGGACCTTACGCTGTCCTTCAGAAAGGGAGCTTGGTGGGAGAAAATTCTGAAGTCCAGCCTCTCCAGAAGATAGTGGAAGGAAACCCTGTTCAAAAATCTGGAAATGCTGCTAAAATTCAACAGGTATACTTCACAATGCTTGACATCTTTAATTCCCATTTTATTATGTTCTTACTTTCCAAGTTATCACCACTTTGTATTTCTGGACTACCAGGCTTTGATATTGCTTTTAATTTTACTATGTTAACCTAACTTGCTCATAGTAAGAAGTTATCCCTAGGCTGTTGCGTAGATAGAAAAGTTACACTGAAATGAGCTTATTGACAAGGACTTATACAAACTGTAGCATGATTGATAGAGAATAGACAAAATTGTGTGTCAAATTGTATAGATAATAGTACATTATTAATCATGTTCCTTTATTTATTTTTTAACTTGAAAAATGAAATCCTAAGAAGAAATTATCAAATCTTCGCTCTCATCTGGAGGAATATGGTGAATAATCGAGATGAAAGCAGAAACAACACAAGTTTCTAGGGTCCGAGTAGGAATCTACTATGTCCATAATGGAGATTTGCTTCTGCTTTTTTCTATTTTGATATTTTTTTCGAAGTAATGTTTGATGGTTATAGAAGATTTCATTGAGGATTGGAAAATCGTAAGTCGCCTAGACCTGATATTTATTCAAAAGATGATGAAATAGTATAGTCATATGATTCGGGATAAATTCTGATGAAACTTAATTTCAACACTTGCAGAAAGATACACTGATTGAGTACCTTTCACCATTCTACCAGTTCATGGGCATTTATGGAGTCGGTCTCCTCAGTGCTCTTTCTGGTGCTATTCTTTATTTGTTGTATATCTTCTGGTTCCAAAGTCCTCTATCACTACACCACTTTACATTTGTATGCCTTGCATCTGTCTTCCACTGGTTACCAGCCACTCTTGCTGCATATGCTGCTATCATTAAAGATGTGCCGTCATACCCATTGGTGTTTGCTTTCTACTTTGCTTTTGCGTACATCACCCATGGCTTCATTCTCAGTCTTCTCACTGCTATTTCAAGTCAATTTCTTGCTGGAAAACATGGAACTGAGCAAACCCATTTCAGAACATGGTTCCGCCAACGCATTAACATTTCTTGCCATCTTAGATTTGCCAGGCTCCTCTCGGGGACTGAAGCCTTTTGTATGTATTTAAGATTATTTGGGGCCAAAATCGGTCGTCATTGTTCTATTCGAGCCATCAATCCGGTTGCCAACCTCGAACAGATCTCCATTGGTGATGGCGTCCACCTGGGTGATTTTAGCTGCATTGTGCCTGGATTTTATTCCTCAGCAGGGTTCACCAGTGGAGAAATTGTGGTCAACAGGAATTCAGTGGTTGGAAGTCAAAGTCTCATTCTCCCTGGCTCAGTAATTCAAGAAGATGTTGTCCTTGGCGCTCTTTCAATCGCACCCATGAACTCTGTTCTCGTTAGGGGCGGCATCTATGTAGGTTCTGAGACCCCCACTATGGTTAAGAACATGTTGGTTGCTTCAGACAAAAGGATTGATGAAATGGACACCCAATATAAGAAAATTCTTGGAAATCTTGCTGGAAATTTAGCCATCACAACCATGAAGGTCAACTCAAGGTATTTCCACCGAATGGGTGTGGGTGGTAGGGGAGTTCTTAAGATTTATTCTGATCTTCCTGGAGTTCCCACTCACAAGATTTTTCGTGCTGGCAAGTGCCACAATGTTACTATCCGGCATAGCAACAGTTTGAGTGCTGATGATGATGCTAGGATTGATGCTCGAGGCGCTGCTCTGAGAATTCTACAGGACGAGTCATTAACACCACTTCTTGACCTGACTCTTAAGACGGGAAAAGCATTCTATGCAAGAACTATTGCAGAGTTCGCCGCTTGGCTGGTTTGTGGCCTCCCTGCAAGGGAACAACAGGTGAAGAGAGCTCCACACATCCGTGATGCTGTCTGGGGATCACTGAGAAATGCCGACTCGTACACAGAATTGCATTACTACTCTAACTTCTGCCGACTTCTTCGTTTTGATGATGGTAAGGAAATGTACGTGAAATTTAAACTTCGCCCTTTTGATTCGAGAATCAGTGAGGATGCTGGTAAGGTGGAGCCTAAGGGAATACTTCCCCCAGAAACCGGTGCAATTCCCAGGGAAGAAAATGACACGCGTCCTCTTCTGTTCCTTGCTGATGACTTTCGCCGACGTGTGGATTCTCCTGATGGAGTTCGCTATGTTTTCCAGCTACAGATCAGGCCTTATGTGTCATCTGACAAATCCGATCAAGAAGTGGCTCTAGATTGCACAAGGCCATGGGATGAAATGGAGTTCCCTTGCATGGACATTGGTGAAATAATCATCAACGAGAATCTTTCTGCTGAAGAAACAGAGGAACTCGAGTTCAACCCATTCCTCAAGTGTCCTGAGGTTGATGTTATACCAGCTACATCTTGCACTGAGAGCGCATCAATTGATCATGGTCGCTCACTCGTGTATGAAATCTGCCAGCACATCCGCAATAGAGTGCCACTTCCAGCATCATGGCGAGGATTCCTTGAGCAGTCTGATGCCAAGGTGGATCTCTCTGGTTGTCCAATGGCTGCAGCTGTGTTGACAGAGAACAAAAGTGACGGTCGCAAATTGACACTGGCCAGAAATTGGTATCAAACTCTCTGGGCTACACTTTGCCAGCCATTGCTTCAGACGTTTGTGCCATACTTTACCCTCTGTTTGGTGATCTTTCTGCCGCTGAAATGGATGCTATTGCTAAAGGAAGAAAAGAAGCTTCCACTACACTGGATGCTGCCTTTCTTCTGGGTCTGTTCAGGAATCATGGCTTCTCTAGTCTGTGTCGTGATGAAATGGATTCTTGTGGGGAGGAAGAAAGGTGGTCAGTCAGTGCAAATGTGGAGCTTTGGAGTCTTCATGGACACGGTTTGGCAAGCTTTGAGGAGTTTGGTCGGCGAGTTCTTCATGGAGATGACATGTGGTTCACTTCTGTTTGTTTCGTGGATGAAGCTGATGGGCGCAAATGTGGGTATTGGAGAGGGAGTGTATATAAATAGTATGGGGGCAATGTTGAACCCAGAGATGGTGGATATTGAGAGGTTTGGGTCTGTAGAGAGGCAAGCGATTCTCTTTGGACACATTTATGAAGGAGGAGGGAGAGTGAAATTTGGGAAGATTATGGTTGAGGAGGGAGGTTTTATTGGGAGTAGGGCTGTGGTTATGCCCGGTGTGAGGGTGGAGAATGGAGGAGACCTTGGTGCTCTCTCACTTGCAATGAAGGAAGAAGTTGTGAGGTCTAGGTGAAAAGCTTGGCTCTCTGTTTTGGCTAGTTGCAGAAGTAACCTAGAAAAATCTAATATATATTGATGAATAAAATTGTTCAGTCAAATGAATAATTCAGGTATGAAAGTGCCTTTTCTCCAGTGTCTCATATTAGTTGTTTGTGGAAATGTTTTCAGCCTCCCTGTTATTTTGTTCACTTATGGTGCATGTCATGATTTTGCATCCAGATTCTGCTTGTTGTATAGTTTCTGCAGGAGTAACATATATATGACGCTTCATGATACATTTCGTATACTGTAGAACATGTTTAGATACTAATAAATATGCATGAGAAATTAATGCCCATATAATGTTAATAATATGACCTACTTACCAAGAACTAAATGTTTAATTATAAATAATATAAAATGCATTTTTCACTTTGTTATCTTTCCATTATTGAAGCATGCACTGATTAAATGGTGATATCTTCTTATGCTGTCCATCGTAATTATTTGTGCACCTTCTTTGTTTGGTAGTGTTCTTTTTTGTCTTTCTTGTTTTCGTTAAGGGGCTGTTTGGTTCTTTTCTCATGTATTATGAAATACAATTCCATGTAAAGAAATCCAAGTTTTGGGTTTTTTAAAAATTTTCAAGAAATATATTGTTTGGGTTTTGTTTATACATAAAACATGGTAGGAAATCAACTTATACACTTTTCTTGTGTTTGGCTGGTATAAAAAAAGAAAAAACTTTTGTTGAGTAGAGTTTACTAATGACTAAAGACAAATTTATTTGTGATCGTTATGGTAGGTAATCTTACCAAAATAAAAGTGCAAATGTAACATAAATAAACAGTAAATAACCGAATTCATTATAAATATTTGTTTGACATAAAAAATCATACGGAACCTGTAATAACATGATTATCATAACTGTTTAATTGAGAATATAGTCTCCATCATTTAATCGAGAACTCCTTAATTAAGGAACATAATTCATTAAAATATGAGAATATAATCTTCATCATTTAATCAAGAACATAAGATGCTAACTGGTTTAACATCAGATGCTTGTAATTTATGAACTTATAAATACGTGCTAACTTATTTAATTCAAGTTAACAGAGAACTCCAGATAATGGTAATATTTTGAATGGTGAAACAAAACTTGCATTGGTAAGTGTAGATGCATATTCTATGGATGCATACTTGGCATCTTCCTCGTGTAATCATTCATAAACTTTGCTCCCACAAATGTTCTGGCATGCGACTCCTGCTGCACTCAATTGCAAGGAGTGTTCCAAGCAAAGTATGACCATGTTTATTAATATCAATCCACATAAATTTTTTTAAAATGGAAGATTCATGAATAAAGTGGAGAAATACTTTGTTGTGTAACGATTATACCTAGTGATGTCAGTGTTGAATAAAAAATCTGATTCAGCCTCTTCGTCTTGTTGTCTAGGCAGTGGTTTTTTATAGACTTAACATGAAATTTTTCACTTACCATTGAACTGACAAATAGAAGTCATCCGAAAAAAAGAGCAAAAAACAGTATCAGGGAAAGAAAAAAAAATTGCATGAAAATTACCAAACTACCAAATTTATCATCCAGTAAAAAAATAAATAAATTACCGTTAAAATTTCGAACCTAATACCCAATAAGAATAAGAATTTGTAAGAAAGGAATTACCTTTTTGAGAGATGAAGCAAAATTTATGAAAGTCCCTAATTAGCAAGAATCAGATTTCAGAGAACCCCCAATTTCAACTCAAGAAATCATCCAAAAATGATCAATATTTATGGATCTCCACCATCAACTCAAAATGTCGAAAGCCCTTAGTAAAATGGTGGTAAAGGAGCTATCTAAGAGAGATGAAGACGCCAAGATGAGAGAAAGGGGAAGAATGAGTGGTAACCCTAGCCGCTCTTAGTTTCCCCAAAGAAATCGATCAGACAAATTTTCAAAACAGTCCCCTTTCAATATTTAATCCCAAAAAACAACCTATTTTGCACTTATTTTCAAAAACCGACCTGGTTTCAGCCCTGACACTGAAACCAGGTCGGTTTTTGAAAAAAAAATCCAAAACTTCACGGAAATTAAACTCCCGTGAAATTTTGTCTCTTAAACAAACTTCACGGTAATTGAACTCCCGTGAAGTTGTATTTGTTGAACAAACTTCACGGGAGTTCAACTCCTATGAAGTTTGTAACATGCCAAAAACTCCACGAGAGTTGAACTCCTGTGGAGTTTCAGTCCAATTTCCAACGAATCGCTCTCTGGAAAATTACCTCCTGTAACTTCACGGGAGTTCAACTCCCATGGAGTTGTAGGTTTTACAAAACATGCACAATAGTCTGTGCATGTTATGTATGTAATGTAACTTATATACGTTATATTTACCTGTTAACAATAATTGATCTCATATACACTGAATTACAACAATATATACATAATTCAATCATGAATTAAACACGAATCAAACAATACTCGCAAAGAGTACATATATAAACAATAATTGATCCAAAAAAGTATAATATTTAAAATTCATAAAAGTTATAAACTTTAACAAAATAAGCTCACATACAGCCCAAAATAGATCATCTCCTTCCTCTCCCTCTCTTCCCCCTCCCCCTCGCTCTTCCCCGCCCCCTGCGTTCCTGTTCATCAGCATGTGAAGTTCCGGCTCCATCAGCATGCGAAGTGCCGGATCCATTAGCATGCGAAGTGCTGGCTTCATCGTTACAAAATCGTCGTCGTTTCGTGTACGCTTGCCCAAATGATTGAGACCTGTCACAAAGGAGGTAATATCCGTGGCCCATCTTGTGTCCAATGTCGACTTTCATATGGTGGACGAAAACACTCTTTGTACGTTTGTTGATAGTTATAAGCAGAATACCAAGACGCGACGAACTCATAATGTGAAATCATTGCACCACCCTGTAGATCAAAACAAGCCGCGACAAGATGTGAACAAGGAATCCATTGTAGTTGCGGTACATTGCAAGTGCATGTACATGTGTGATCTACTAACATATTAACTTTGTAAGAGCGATTTTTTCTATGTGATATTCCCTCAATGACCCCATTCATTAAAACTGTATCTTACGATATGAAATGATCGAGCTTACACAATCCGAGCCGCTAGCATTTCATCAACCTTTGGTGTGAGCTCTAAGTGGATATTTTTACCAAGTACGTGACATCGGAGAAATAAGTTATTAAGTCTATAAAATGTTTTAGCAACTAGTAACTGTATTAGCATACCGCGTGCTCCCCTAAGAACATCATTGAAACTCTCAGAAGCATTCGTAGTTATCATACAGAACCGTCTCCCGCCATATTCACATAAAGCCAACTTATCAATATTGTGTGGTCCCAAACTAGTTTCGATCCAATCATGTGCAGCTCGTGAAATGAACTTAATCCTCTCTCGTATTTGATCATAAACTAATTTTTCTATTGCAATCATGTGCAGCTCGTGAAATGAACTTAATCCTCTCTCGTATTTGATCATAAACTAATTTTTCTATTGTACAGCCGGCTTGCCAAAGAAGATCTTAAACCTGACCGTTTCCATACTTCTTGAAGTGTTCTCTAATATGTCGCAGGCAATAACGATGTGCATGTGGTGACGGGAAACGATGTTGAAGTGCTCTTGGAATTCCTTTCATCCTATCAGATATGAATGTAATCGGCCTCGCCCCTACACTAGGGATATGATATCTAATGCATGCAAAAAACCATGCCCAATTATTTGTGTTTTCAACATCAGCCACTGCAAACGCCAAAGGAAACAATCTTCCATACGCGTCAACTCCGGTTGCAACAAGAAAAACATCTTTGTACTTACCGTATAAGCGGGTGTCATCAATGCTAAGAAGAAGGCGATAATATTGGAAACCCTCAATACAAGGGCCAAATGCCCAAAATATACCTGTGAACCGTCATTCTCCGCCATCAATAGGGTCTGATGAAACTTCATAGACAGTCCTAGGATTTTCCTCTTTTGAGTGCTTCAAGATAATGTGATAAGATCTCATAAGATTTGTCCTAATCCCCGAATATTTTTATCATCGTCTTCCTCCTAGCATTCCAACACTTGTTGTATGTACATCTAAGTTGGTCGTTTTATGCACTAAAAGACGAATATCTTTTGGTCTTAGATCAAGATCCTCCCTTAGATGCGGTAAAATCAATCAATATATAAAAGAAGAGGACGCATGCTTGTTATTCATCTCCAATCGAGGATTGCTACATGTGTGGAGTCCGTTATATGCAGTGATTTTGAAATGCCCACCTACTCTTATACTTGAATGTGAATTAAGCTTCCAAGGATATTTCGCATTGCCGTCGTGGTGTCTACCATTATCTTCATATTCACCATCTTTGCGATAAAAACAATTATAGCTTGTTGTGTTGTTTTTTGTCGACCTAAACTTGACATTTTTAGCAATGGCATATGAGCGAAGTGCATGGATCAATTTCTCCTTACTTTCAAAAAGACCCCCCTTCATGAATGTGAAGTCCTCATCCTGTGTGGCATCATCGCTATTAGTGCCAATAAGAATACTTTCCATCATGGAGTTATCAATCCATTCTTCTCCTTGAAGTTCATCGGACGGCGGATCCTCTAAGACAACATACTCATTATTAGTATAACATCCGTCAATGTGTTGGTTGTCCCTTTCATCACGATCTATCAATGGCATGCTATTAATTTGTAAACCGTCCTCTTCATCATCATTCTCGGATTCGACACTTACATTATCTTCTTGATGGGCCGTGTTAGTATCGAAAGCATTTGAAGTGCCCATCATCAAAGAACCGCTCATGTATTGTGATTGTGTCCAACCTTCATCTTGTTGCGGAGATAAAAAGCCGACGGAGTCAAGTTCAAGGTTTTCCAACCTGCGGGAGTACATTCCGTCGTTATTCAACGATTTACCCAAATTCCTCTAATGTTTTTCAATAAACAATTCGACCGAACGCCCCTCGCAGTGTAACACTCCAACGAGACCCATATCATAGTTGTTTGTGTCAAAAGTTGCCTTTTCCATTGTTTTCAAAACCTGTTACACCGTTTATCGATTACAAGTTCAAACTGAAAGAAAAGTTGATCTTTTTATAAGATCTTCTTACAACGAAAAATAAAGATTACAACTTTATCA